CTCTGCTTGAAAAGGCATTTAGCAAATATATAATTTCATGTAAACAAAACCAATCAATCCCTTTCACTCCTGTTTAGCACACTTGTATACAGTGTAATCACGGCTACAACAGCTACGCATACAAACTGACACAATCTTGAATACAATTTTCCTCGTATAAACTATGCATGATAAATTCATCCATCCTGTATAAACTATTTTCTTGTGCTCTCGCGGGTAGGGTACTTGAACAGACTGCTGCTTGTAGGTCTTTGTTTACAACCAGCCTAATGTAATTATACTCACCACCTACACACAAATTAGCATGCAAACTGTGTCGGAGGTTTGAAAAATACATGGAGGAATGTGATTTAGTGCGAGCAGAGGTCTGATCTTGCCGAGGCAGTGTTTCTGCAGCAGTGCTCGCTGCCACGATGTCAGGTCGACGGACCTCACAGCTGCAACATGGGAAGCAGGGCTGCGGCTAACAAGCTCCAAAGTACTCCATTTAAACACACATGTACAGTGGCAAAAAGACACCGAATACACACCCACAGAGCTTCAGAGCTGGGGAGCTCTTATCTCCACTGAACAAACTCCTCGAGTGATGGGAATGTTCTCAGGATGTTATCTTGTCCTCTGTGGAAATGAGATAGCCAGCCACCTTTATCACCACCCTCAGACTCTGGAGGGCCCCTGACCATTACTGGAACAAGGACCAGTGGGCTGCCAGGGGACACTAACCAACTGGCTGCCTGGAAAAAAAGAGACTGCCAGGGAATTGTAAGCACCGCAAGTGGAATGACTGACAGGAGATTGGAAGGAGTCTCACAGTTAGGTGGTTTAACCCGGCCAAGGGAGTCGACTCTGTGCCTTGAAGGCCATTTTGGACTTTTAAGTTGTTATTTGCACAGGATGCTGAACAAGATGAAATAAAAAAAAAGGAGAGACATACTGTGAGTCTTGACACCTTATTAAAAAGAATATAAGAAGAGGGGGGGGGGGAATCTAAAGGGAAGCTAGACATTAGTTATAATTGGCAAAAGAATAAACAGAAATCTTGGAGATATGTGATTTAACCGAAACATCTCCATGGCAACTCTCTTTTCAAGTCACATCTTTAATGAATAGGTAATGGACAAAATGCAAAACACACAACTTCATAACGTCAGAACAGATGCCAAAACTGACACGGGAGGAAAAAAAAAAAGGTAGATTTTGTTTGACAAAAAGTGATTTTGCAGCGCGCACAACAGAGTGTGTCACAACAGCACAGCAGCTTCTTTCTTTTTTTTAAAGAAAGAAAACACACACGCACACAATAAACCAGAGCAACACAAATCTTCCTTCTGTTGCTGTCATTTTGACTGTCTGGCAAATCCACCTCTTGTTTTCAAAGCATTTTTTTTCCTCTAACAGGTGCAAAACCTCTCAACTCAACACATCAAAGAGACACATGCACCTGCGAATAAATCACAGCGAATGGTAAGAATCCAGACTAGGGCCTCCTAACACCAAAGAGGTAGGATTCAAAGTGTCTGATTTAATATTCATGAAGTGCAAGGCTTTGGTGGTTGAATGCTTGTTTACTGAGATGTGTCTTTTGTCCTTGGGAGAAGGTTTGATATTCCACCAAGCAGCTGTATTTACATATACTTGCTGTTTTTGCCTCGACACGATATAAAGACACATCCCTCACCTAACATGGCAAATACATCTCACACAGCCACATACTGACTAATGATTGACAGGCAATTTCAGTATGCTCTCGTCTCCCCTGTGAAGTATTAAAAGCCTTACTGTTGTTCTGACAGAGCTAATGAGAGTTTCTGATTATGAAGTGTTGGCGGCTTCCATGCGGAGGAGTTGTTCAAGTTGCGGCAAGTCCAAAGCAAAGTGTAGTCTGCAAACTGCACCCACAGGGACAGAGGTGGCAGACAAGTAGCCGAGACCAGACGGAACCAACTGTCAAACACAAAACACAGGTGTTTTTCATTAATAAACACGTCTGTTCCTCTCATTAACACCACTGCACCTCTTTTTTTAGATTAATTTAGGCATGATGTGGCCTCTAAAAATGTTTACCAGCTTTATACTGTTGTTTCAATGACAAGGCAAAGACAGTTAATAAATGGAGCTGGTAACCTTCGTTTTTTTGCACCTGTTTTTTTCAAAGGTATGGTCATTACAAACCCCTGGCTCTGCAGCTCGGTGTCAGTCGTGCACCTGCATCGAGGAATCAGTTTTTTGGCAGCAGCTTGTGAGATAATCTCAAAGTGAAATCACAAAGGGCAACAGCTCCAGATGGATGTCTCCGGCACCTTTCAGAAGTGAAACAAACTCATACAAGGTCGACACTCTATGTGGATCAGCTAATTACTACGGCTGAAAGAAAGCTTGTGAGAAAAACCCATCTCCCCGGCGGGTACTTAAAGAAAAGAAAGCAGCTGGTCAGAACATACTCTAGAGAAAACATCAGCCATTGGAGAAAGTGGTTGGGGATACTCTTCACTTAAGTGCTTTTCTCTGAGCAGTGTTCTCTGTTATTCACTCCCACGCTTTCTCCTCTCTGGTAGGGGCGGCACACACACATATCCATCCCTTTCATCCCCAGGGGTGAAACAAACCCATGCATTATGACTCAAATCAAGCTTAATTTATTTCACATGCTCTAATTTAATGTCTTCGTGTTGATATGCATTGAATAAAAATAGCTGGATTATTTTTCTAATTATTCCCCCCCACATTTTCTCCAGAGCATGCACATTACACAGGGGTTTTGGTTGTTGCATTTCTCACACAACTTGGCTGTTGAACAACTCAGTGGATCAGGAGGCCAACTGATGACTCGTGCAGACCTGCTGCCCTCTGCTGGCAAAACTGCAAACTACCAACAGTCCTGTAAGGGCTCCGACAATGTTCCCTGCTATAAATCAAGACTATACATGGTTGTTTAGATACTTGCATCACCTACAACTTCATTGCTCCTATTTTCTCATCTACAAAGTCACACATATGAACCTTGTAAAAAATGTAGACTAACTTACAGCCTACCTCATGTGTTAGTCTGCTAAATGTGCTTTCAAACTCACTTAATATTAATATAGCATATTAAACATGTTATTTTTGATGCACTAACATTGTGCTTCATGTCCTTTATATATGATTGGTTGGGACTGGAGACTACAGATTTGAAAATGAAAGTAAATCTGGGGTTGTGGAGTTGAAAAGAAGTCTGCTTCAGGCTAGCAGAGCCTCCAGGCTACATCAGTATACCCAAATCTCTGATGGTGCTGTTGGTGGTCCACTTGCATTGTGGGTAATTAAGGAGCCAGATTCTGGCAAAGAAGAAAAAGACACGGGATAAAAAAGATGATATCTCTGTTTTTTATTTTAAAAAAGCCCAGTAGGAGTCTGACAGTGTTATAAAAGTGTAATACTAAATCAGTGGAGTAGCCTTGCTACTCTTTAAGTAGCAATCAAGTGTGTTCAAGGACCCTGTATCACACTAGCTAGCAGTTTTAATTATGTACTTTGTATACAGGACCTAGAAACAATAATGATATTAATAATATTAATTTACTTGACTAGAAATAGTCTTTAAAATATTTTAAAGGGGCACTCCACAGAGTTTACACATGAAGTTTGGTTTAATAGCCATAAGGAGGACGATTCAACCTGTATAAACAAGTTAGATGATGTTTGTGAGTCTTGGAAAATAACCCCATTGTGTGTTATGGGTTATTTACATCAGCTCAAAGACAACTTATCAACTGTTTCCTTATGTCCGCTAAGAAATGCTTGCTGATGTTGTGGAAGGGTAAAAACATCCCTAATGTGAATATGTGGCTTGGTAATGTCGCCAGTACTGTTGAGGTGGAGAGGATCAGATATAATAGAAATGAGCAGGTGAATTTATTTGATGCCATCTGTCAACCTTTATTCAATATGTGGAGAAGATAACAGTGTAATGCCATCTGCAGATTCTTGTTACCAATTTAATGTAGGGGCCTTGGATTTCGTTTTGGGTGTCTGGGTTGGATGAGCTGGGTGCTTTATTGCTCTCCTTTCTTTGCTATTGTGTAGTTTTTTAAAATGAATTTGAAAAGAGAACGGTGTCTGTATCTTGTAGTGTTGTAAATGCACATTGCATTTATTTTTTTGTGTGTGTGTGGATGTATATATACACATACTAGATGTGCGTATGTGTATGTTTTTGTTTATTGCTGTTAAAATCAATAAAAATATTGTTGGAAATAACCCAATTATGTCATCAAGGCTATCTCAGATTGAATATATGGCTCCAATTTGTTTTAAAAGAAGCCAGAGTGATGTGTTTAGGACATAGAATTTGAAAGACATTGGCATTGACCATACACTGTATAAAATAATGGACGCAGCCACCGTGAGGACCACTGCTTTGTGGACCACTGTATTGAAGCCTCGAGTTCGGCCTTTCAGCAGTCGCCATCTTTTTTCTTTATTGTTAGTAAAGTAAAAAATTTTATATGACACTTTTCACAGACCAAAGTCTCAAAGTGCTTTCCAAGGGCAACATACAACAAAACATAGCAGGAAGAAGCGACTACCCGAGCCACCTCGTTAAGAGTGTGAAACCGTAAAGAATCTCAGTACACAATGAAAGTACACGAAATAAATAAAATACAGAGTTAGTGCGTAAGTTACCCAAATGCCTGCCAAAACAGATGTGTCTTTGGCTGGCTTTTTAAGGAAACCGCAGTCAGCAGACAGCAGGCAGCAGGGGTGCAAGCAGAGCATTCCAGAGTTAAGGTGCGACTGCCTCAAAAGCCTGATCACCTCGGGGTTTAAGGCAAGTGCAAGAGCTAACTAATGTTAGCTCAAATGAGTAGTCAACAATCCAGTTTTCTACATCCACAGAACTTCCATAAAAATGAAATGCTTGGCAACCAGAGGTGTCTAATCGAGACAGGCGTTTATTTGTCAAAATGTGTAGCTACACCGGGCTAGTAAAAGGGACTGGGTGTTTATTGTACCAGGCTGTAAACATGTTTATTTCTGCTGTAAGGTTGGGCATTTTAAAAATGGCGATCCATGGGGATTTACTGGCTTCAAGAGCCAGCCTCAAGTAGCCATTAGAGGAACTGCAGTTTTTGGCACTTCTGCGCTGGCTTCATTTTTTAATCCTGGAGGTTGCCACTTGGCATTGACCAGCAGAAAAGGTCTAACAACAGACACTATGAGTTGCATAGCAGGAAATGTAGGATCCAGTGTTTTTGGAGCTTGACCCTAACTAGTGACGAAAAGTCAGTATATATCTGAGCCTCTGAAGCTTCGTTTTTGACCACTTTTTAAAAAAATAAATAAATAAAATAAATCTGTCTTTTGTGAATCCCCTAACCTAATAAAATGTAATGCCAAATCACTAGAGTGTCACTTAAAAATATATTTGAAGTATGTATAGACTGTGCACATAAAAGTAATTACAAATTACAAATCAAATACAGCACTTAAATGTAGTCAATCATATGATAAAATGTACTAATGATACACTGTTAGTTCATTAAGTGGATTGTTAACAGTCTACTTTCCAGTCTAACCTGGGTTGTTGTGGAATAAAGCCTTTACTGTAAGGTTTCTTTTTATCCATGTCTGCCATATAGCTCTCAAAACAAGAGAAAACACAACCTGCAGTTTCTAGTCCTGTTATTTATTTGACAGCTGGACCCTTCAGAAAGCTCACCTGACCCTCTCTGTATGTTATGCCCTCTCAGTGATGCCATCTAGTGCCTTACATGTAGGAGTATCTCAGGGCTTGGCTGGTGCTGAGCAGTTGGTAGCTGCCAGCACTGACAGGGGCTCTGAGAGGTCGGAGTCGTGTCGTCCAAACCACATGACTTGCTCCCCTGCCTGCGCCAAAGCTGCCTCTTCAGACTTCAGCTTGTGGTTGCGGGGGAACCGGAGGAACTGCCTGGTGCTGGCTGGAACATTAGCAGCCTGTTTCACCGTAAAGTCAGCCTGGTGAACCGTGACGTCCCCCCCGGTCTCTTCAGGGCTGCTGTGAGCTCCGTTGTGGCACAGGCAGAAGTGGGAGATGTTCTGCTGTCTGTGATCGAGACACTTCCTGCGGCCCACACCCTGAATACCAACATGGAAAAGATATGGTTTCCCTTCAAGGTGTAATATGGTGACGGATCTGAACTTTTCATAATGGCCTTCATTTCTTTTTATACTCACATGACTGAAGACAGTGATGTTGTCTTTTAAGGCAAGCTTGTTGTCATGGTAGGAGAGTGGATACTCTCTGGATATCTGTAAAGAAACTCAAGCTGGGATGACACTATAATGTCTGATACAACTGAATACAGTGGAATAGGGTGAAATGCTTTGATAAGAAGTGCAATAAAATCTTTCAAAGCCCTGGGCCATGGCTATACTTTGAAAAAAAGAACACTCATACCAAACACTGTATTATCTACTGTACATACACACCTGCTGAGTTTTCAATTTAGGATAGCGCTGCAAGTTCAAAGCCTGAGGCAACGATGAGTTAACCTGAGTCAGCATGGTCCCAGTGCTTGTACAGGCCTCACGACTCCTCATCTCGTTTTCAGGTGAAACTGGATGAGCAAACTGAGAAGGAAATGACAGAAAAGCTGATTATCACTCATGTTCAGATGTTATGATTCGTAATGAATGAATGATTGTATGTAAAATGAGGATTTTCTTACCCATTTGCCATCATTGCTCATTGAAGAATATCGCTTTCCACCTTTTACCATTTTTCGCAACAGTTTGCGAGAGTAGTTTCACCAGTACAGTACACACACACTGTCAAACTTAGCAACTAATGCAAACACACACTAGTGGCTATGGAAACGTGCTGCTGCATGCACAAACAACCTGAAATGTGATCTGGATTTGCCATGGAGATGTGGAACTGGAATTCTGGCAGTAAATATACAAAAAAAAGCCAGTTTTGTGAATATTTAATTACAGCCATGTTAAGTAATTTTATGTAAAATGTGAGATTTTCCTTCCTTATTTTTTTAAAATGTTGAAAAATTATCCAGACAGTCCTTGTTAAGGAGCTCTGCAGTTCTGCAACTGTGGACTAATTTGCGACAAAACGACATTAAATTGGTGTGTATGAAACTTACAAGAAGGATTTCTCTGATGGACGACAAAACAAACAAAATTAGCATATAAGCAGCTTTATTTTTGCCAACACTGGATACAGAAAAAAAACATACATACTTATACAATATAGTTATTTTTACTTTTTGTCAGTTTTAATAGGAAATGTTAATTATGCAAAAGTAATTTTAAAATATGTTTTTTAAATAGCCTACACTTTTTGACACAGGAAGTAAAAAATGATTCACGTGATTTTCTGTGCAAATAATCTTTAAAAAGTGAAAATAGGTACATAGTCATAAATACCAAGCCCTGACTGTACAGTAGCACCAGCTTTGAATTGTTTACTACCTTAATGGTACAACTGGAAGCATTATTTTTAATTCTTTAGTGAGGTGTGTTAATCAGGCCAAAGTCCCGACGTGGTAAGTAAACTGGAGTGTAAGTGACATTACTTAGGAAAAGGGGGGGTTTAGTTAAAGCAGCAAACGTAAAATTAGTCACTGTGACAAAATCTAAATTTAACAATATATTTAGAAAATATGGGAATAATTTTTGTTGGCATTTTTGCCTTTATTAGATAGAAAAATCGGTAACGCTTTACTTGAAGGTACCCACATAAGGGTGATATGACACTGTCATAACTAGGACATGACACGGTCATGAACCTGTCATTATGTACATGTTATAAATGATTATGACTACTGTCATTAAGTGTCATTTGGTTTTTGTAATGACAAGTTGACATTGTTTGGGTTGTCTTGATTATGACAACTTGACATTAATCAAAGTGACATTACCAGAAGTTGTCTTTGTCATGACAAGTTGACATTAAATTTGTTTGGGATGTTCTTATTATGACAACTTGACATTGACATAAAGACATCTACTGGTAATGTCATCCTGGTTAATGTCAAGTTGTCATTATAAGGTCATCCCAAACAAATTTAATGTCAACTTGTCATGACAAAGACAACTTCTGATAATGTCACTTTGATTAATGTCAAGTTGTCATAATCAAGACAACCCAAACAATGTCAACTTGTTATTACAAAAACCAAATGACACTTAATGACAGCAGTCATAAACGTTTATGACATGTACATAATGTTCATGACAGGTTCATGACCGTGTCATGTCCTAGTTATGACAGTGTCATGTCACTCTTATGTAGATACCTTTAAGTAAAGTATTACCAAAAAATCTAGCATGAAATGGACAATGGACATTGGCAAAGGGCCAAAGCAAGGACAAAGCTTTTGTACGCGGGGCACCTGCTCTACTAGGTGAGCGAGTGGACACCCCACAGTATGGGAATCTTCAAATTAATTTGTGGGTGAATTAAAAAAAGACAGATAAGAAACCAAACACCTCTAGTAGCAAGCGCTCACTCCTTCTCATCTTTCTGGTGCCACATACAGGCATATTAGTTTCTACAAACAAATGGAGGATGGGGAAATGTACAGAGAGGTCATCTTCAGACTGAAAATTGTTGCTCCAGGATCCCATGAGGAATATTAGACTCCAGCCACAGCTGAGACACAGTAGTGATCTGAGTGTCCCTGTTGTGGATCTGTTGTATTATTGATCCCTGAGGACGAGATGAGCACGACAAAAAGGTTCAATTACATGTTTTAGGTTACGCTCAACACACTGCTTTAGAAGCTACCATCCAGGGTCCAAACATGTTCATATTCTTCAAAGTAAGGTAACGTGTAGGCACGCATAGATACCCAACCCTTGTTCCTTATTTATGTATCTTTTCTTGAAGCACTCAAGATGTATAAAAATGGCTGCCTAACATGGTTTTATAGCTGACATCTCGAGTCCACTGAGTTATTTAATGACGGCTAAATGGGCCCTCATCTGTGCTGTTAGTGCTTTGTTGATCATGATAACATTGTCTTGACCTCATCAACTGGACCCTGTTAATTAAGAGGGTCATAAGGATGCTCTTAATGAAGGCTCTTGGTGCCTATGACAGTCCGTGTGGTGCAGCACTACAGTGAACTAATGGTATTAAATTAAGAGGCAGCCATTTGTTTGCACCTCCTGCATTATGCATTAAACATTTTGAAGAGAGTGCTGATTCTTACTCGGAGTGACTGATGTAGGCGTCTCTGTTTCGCTGCTCCAAGAGCTCGTCACTATGGGAACATACTCTTTTCTCTTCTCCCTATGGAGGTGCTTCTTCAGCTGTTTGGCCAAACGTTGCCACCTGGTGAAAAGCAGTAATCAGACACAACTTGAAATCTCCACAACTGTGGTTATGTTATCATTCAAAGTAAAACAGAGATCACACTTACCGTTCCACTACGTCGTTGTGCTTATTCAACCTGTCTGCCTCCTCCCTCTTCTCCACCATCCATCGTTGCATGAGTTCATCTTTCTCTCTACGAGCCTTTGCCAATGCCTCATTTAGTCCTTTCTGCTCAGCACGCAGGACTGCCAACTCTTTGGATTGACACTCGATGGTGAACTCAAATTCTGAAAGGGTCGCCTTAAGGGTGTTACTCCCTTTAGCCAGAGTGCGAGCCTCTTGACGGTAGTGGGACACACTGAAACAGACAAGTCATGAAACAGTGATTTACTGTACCTTAGATTAGCTCGTGGTACTGTTACTTTAAACTTTTAGATGTTGGATTATAGGTCACGAGTTCATCCACTAATGGCGAAAAACACAGAGTTGCTAAAGGTGGATTCAAGCTTCCTTATCAAGGTCTTTCAGGGTCAAATACAGTAGCATCTTGGGTGTGTTGCTTGAGTGATGTTATTATATGCCCAAAGTAATCACATTAAAGTGGAAATAGGCACGTTTTTTGCTTTAACTTATCATTATGAAGTGAATGTTGATCATTCAGTGTAATGGTTACAGAATAGTGACACCACTGGTGTTTAGTTTGGTTCCCTATAAGCCTTGCTTTCACTATGCTATTCTATCCATTTGGTATGATCTCACAGAAAACTGAAGGTTCAGTTTACAGCACAAAGGAAGCGTGGAACTGTGCAACCAAAAAACGAAGATGATAGTGGTATTGCTTACCCTGGTATCTATCGGTAGCTATCCCTTGTTATCAGTGTAAGTTCTTAGCAGTTACTATGCCCAGTAGCGTATGGTGGAACAACCCAACTAACTTTGGAAACTCTAGCCGGCAAAAGATAAAGAGCCTCGTTGCTAGGCTTTGAGAAAAACGGAAAGTGATCTGGTTGTCTTTGTGACAGCAGCGCCAACAACAGCCTAATGTCACTTCAAAATGCTAGAGGGGAAAGTTAAAAAAAATTGTCCATTTCCAATTTAACAGTATTTTATTTACTTTGTAACATACATAGCGATAATAAGAAGCCTTTCTTTAAAAGGACTCGCTTGCTAGATCCAAGAGTCTTGCTTACTGGAGCTTGCTAGATCACAAAATAAACTGACAAATCAGGTGGATGTATTGTAAGGGACTGTATGCAAGGTATAGAGTTGAGTTGCTGAATCTGACATGTCATCCTATTAAAAGTCCAGTTTCTAGGATTTATAGGCATCAATAGTGAGGTTGCAGAGCTGAAACTTCTCCCGTGTGCCAAACGTGAAGGAGACATACGGTGACTGACATGGAAAACTCAAATTGGCCTATCTAGAGCCAGTGTTTGGTTTGTCCGTTCAAGGCTACTGTAGAAACAACATGGTGGACTCTGTGGAAGAGGACCGGCTCTGTTTGATATGACTAAATAAAGGTAATGAAAACTCAATTATTATTATTCTGTGTGATCTTAAACGACTGAAAACATAGTTGTGAATGTTATATTCCATTTCCACCAATAAATGCCCCTAAATCCTACACACTGGACCTTTAAAAAAGCCAGGCCTTCCCTTGTGTTATTAATATCTCCTTTGTACCCACCCCCTGACTTCAGAAACAACTGCAATGCCCTCCCCATAATATCTTAAGACTGTATATTTATGGCAAACTTAATAAAATATTACAACACAAGAATCTAGTTGCTTCCTATGTTTGAGAAAATAATAAATAAATAATAAAAATGATTTTCATACAGTGCCTAAAGGTGTCCAATGCTTATCTGTCTCTTCAGATTGATAAAGAAGGGAGCATACTGATAGCTTTAGTTGTCCACTGACAGTGATGCTCTGAAAACTTGAAATTACCGTGACTGCCAGTACTGCAGTTCAGCCTCTTTCAGATACAGGACAGCGGTCAGGTCGGAGACAGTCTGAGACAGCTGGGGGGACAAAGGATGAAAAAATGTAGGCCTATGCTAATAATAATTTCACAAGGTTAAAGCCACTTAAAGCCATGTATTAATGTATTTCTGATTATGTCTCACATTTATAATAAATATTTGTGCAAACAGTTGCTGCTTACACAGTGGAATAATGTCTGAAACATGTTCATAATTGGATTTCTCCACATTTAACCAACACACCTTTTCTGCCAGGTGTTCACTCTCTCTCAGTTGGAGTTGAAGGAGTCTCGTGTCTTTCCCAACTTGAACTCCACCTTGCTCTGAACTGGAAATAAAAAAACAGTGTTTAAAGATCAGATTTATAATAAAACAGAATCAAGCTTTGTGCATTAGATCATCAGACAGGCCAAATATGACTCTACATTTCTCACCTCTTAGACTGATCATCCAAAATTCGCTTGCGAATTTCAAACCGTTCCTCCAGCTGAGACACTGAAAGAAAACAAACACATGTCCTCAGGCTAAAACAGTGAGAGCTTCATCACTGCAAAGGTTGAGTGAGGAAATATTCATCTTACAGCTTGTAAAGACGCCAGCATATGGCAGTTTCTCTGTTTGGTCTCTGTGTTGCAGCTGAGCGCGCACGTGATTCTTCCAGCTTCGCATTGCAATAAAAACTATTTTTCACACGGTCCCCAAAAATGTCCTGCAGAGGTTGGTTTGACGCGTCTTTTCCTCTGCTCCCACTTGATTTTGGTCGAAGGCGAAATTATTGTTAAATGGGAGAGTTGTTAAAAGGTCCCGTCAGCAGGAATGAAATGCCTGAAGCAAAGTTTCACAGCTCCTCCCTGTTCAGTCAGTCAGCTGCTTTACATTCCCCAGCATTATATAACTTCTGACCATGATTATATATATATAATAATATAATATAATAGTAATATAAAATAATATATGGTAATTTTATACCTCAACTTTGGTTTGTTATTTTCAAAGGGAAATATTTTGTAAGCTACTTTTAATACATTGACAAGCTACTACTAGCCTAACTTTATATCTTAAGATTTTATTAAATCTATATTATATTATCTTTATGTACACAGAGCATACAAACAAAACTTTCAAACGAAAAACTTTCTGCCACTTACTATTCTTAAGTGTTATTCTTTACTTTATGCTGCTAATATTTCCCAAGACAGCATGTTTTATGTCAAACTTAACTTAAAGACTATTTGTACATTTACATATAGCTATTTCTACATAAATAAAAGACACACCACTGAATGCAATGTAATATAATATGATATCAAATATTATAACAAAATAGAGCCATTGTGTAATATATAGATAAACCACAGGGCATTAAAGTAATTAAATTAAAGCTGTAGGTTGGCACTACTAACTTTGTTAATTAAACTAAATTAAATTAAATTAGATTAAATTCAAATCAATTTAATTTAATTCAATTTAGTTTTATTTCATTCAATCTAATCTAATCTAATTCAATTTAATTTAATTTAGTTTAATTTAATTTGATTTAATTTAACTTCATTTAATATTAATACCAACATTTTTTACAAATTAAAACGCTTTGTAAAATAGTTTTTTAAATAATGATTAAGAATTATGAATAAAATAATAATTTGTTGTTTTTTTTAAGCCTACCTTTTGGCTGCAAAATATGAAATATTAATATAAACATAACATTTAATTAAAAACTAGTGGACATACTTTAAAACGTGATTGAATTTCAAAATAAAATATAACGGAACAGAACAGAACGTGCTCAACTTTTCTACAACGAGGCTCTGGCACATCTTAAAGTACTTCCGGTTCATATATTTTTCTAAATAAATCGCAAAAACTGAAATATATTCTTTATATAGACGCTAATATTATGCGTTACAATGTGTTAATTTTTTCCTAAAATTCTGAGTTATTCTTATCGTCGAATTAAGACATAAAAATGAATTTTGTAGTTTTTCTTACCGTTAAACCGGAAGTTATTACTGCTCGCACTAACGTGTGCTCTGACAACAACAGACTGGCAGGCTGGTGATAGGAAGAGAAGCTGCAAGCATATTTAACAAGTCATGTAAGGGCTAGAAATGATTAAGGTTAACAAAACAACAACAGCCCGTCATGTGAGCGTCGTCTAGCTTTAAATTAAATACCGTGTTGCATGACTACACTTCTTTTTTTGCATCTCTAGGAGTCAGCGTTGTTCTTTAAAAGGAGCTAGCCTGTCAAGCTAGCAAACTCGAGACAACTTTATTGACATAAATGACGCGTCTCGCTGGTTATCTAGCTAATGTATAGGTTGTCCGTGAGTTGTCGAAGACATGGATAGGTTGTCTAATTGTTAAAAAATCGCCAGTTTGGTGTGTTGAACGGTCGCGTGTCCAGTATGAGCGCATCAGCTGGGGACAGAGAGCCTGCTGGGACCCCTCTGGATAATGCAAAGGAGGAAATCATTGGCCCTACCTGTTCAGGAGAGAACAGCAAACATGTAAGTAACCAGAAAGGTTTATTTAGATGAAGGACCTCGATCTAAATCCAACGCCTACCTCTGTCAGTGACCCCTGGTCATGCTAACTTCCTTACAACATGATGTCTTACCTTGTTATCTTGAAGGACTCCGCAGTGTGCACAGGAAACAGTGAAATAAAGAGCCGGGCCGTGGTGAAGTACTCTGCTGCCCCACCTCCCACCAGTTATGCTCTGCTGCAGGAACAGACAGACCTGAAGCTGCCTCCTGCCAACTGGCTGAGAGAAAACCCCCAGCTGGGCAGCGCTGGCACCACTATATTAGGGTCCAGCAGCAAGAGCAAGCCTTTCTCCAGGTACATCATCATGAGAAATACTATTACTATAATTGATCTTTATCAATTTAGTGTGGAACTGTACTGTGGTTTCTGTAGAGATGTTTAGTTTTTGCTTAATAAAGAGAGTACGCTGTCTGAGTGTACTTTCCATAGTGGTGAGACAAAACACAAAACTGAAAGGAGTCCATAAGACCTTACATCACACACTAAGTGCTGCATTCACCAGTCTACAGACACGTTCTAGTGCAGTGGTTCCCAACTGGTGGTCGCAGGGTCATTCAGAGTCGCAAGTGACTCTCGAACATGTCAAATTTGAAGTACAGTGAATTTCCAGCACAGAGCTTTTATTTTGAAGTGCCGTTTTCTGCTGTAGAGTGAGTGACTAATGGATAGCTACTTGACAGAGACAGCAAACTAGCTTGACGACTTGGCCATACTTAGTGTGACATAGTAAAGGTTAAATACATTAAACTGTGTGGACCTTGAACTAATGACTAAGGAGAAATCTGGACCCTGTTGCCGGACTAGTTGGGAACCACTGTTCTAGTATGTACAGTGGGGTTAAGTGGGATTCGTGTAGTCTTTCATTCCACTCATATTTTGTATTCATCATCAAGATGTTTTTTTTTTCCGCTAACATCCTGCACCATTACAGTACAAAATGTACTTTTCACATGGTAGTCTGCAGGTAACAAAGAACACAAACAGTAAACAACAAAACTGAAAGCAAACACTGCAGCACAGCATGCCTCCTTTCTAAGGCTTTCTGATAGATCTGGTATCTATTGATCCCCACTGGTAATAAATCTGAGGAAGCTGCCCCACATGTCAGTGAATCTGGACTCTGATTCTTTCAGTTTGGCTACTATGAATTCGTATGAGGCTGTAAAACTCATAAGATCAATTTAGTCCTTTCAACAAGGTGTGCTTGTGTTTTTCCAGTTCCTTAGTATAATCTTGGCTGCATTAAGGAAACCTGCACGAGCTAACCTAAACAATGCCTTTATAAGTCCCGATTGTAGACCATATACAGTACAGGCCAAAAGTTTGGACACACCTTCTCATTCAATGCGTTTTCTTTATTTTCATGACTATTTACATTGTAGATTCTCACTGAAGGCATCAAAACTATGAATGAACACATGCGGAGTTATGTACTTAACAAAAAAAGGTGAAATAACTGAAAACATGTTTTATATTCTAGTTTCTTCAAAATAGCCATCCTTTGCTCTGATTACTGCTTTGCACACTCTTGGCATTCTCTCCATGAGCTTCAAGAGGTAGTCACCTGAAATGGTTTTCCAACAGTCTTGAAGGAGTTCCCAGAGGTGTTTAGCACTTGTTGGCCCCTTTGCCTTCACTCTGCGGTCCAGCTCACCCCAAACCATCTCGATTGGGTTCAGGTCCGGTGACTGTGGAGGCCAGGTCATCTGCCGCAGCACTCCATCACTCTCCTTCTTGGTCAAATAGCCCTTACACAGCCTGGAGGTGTGTTTGGGGTCATTGTCCTGTTGAAAAATAAATGATCGTCCAACTAAACGCAAACCGGATGGGATGGCATGTCGCTGCAGGATGCTGTGGTAGCCATGCTGGTTCAGTGTGCCTTCAATTTTGAATAAATCCCCAACAGTGTCACCAGCAAAACACCCCCACACCATCACACCTCCTCCTCCATGCTTCACAGTGGGAACCAGGCATGTGGAATCCATCCGTTTACCTTTTCTGCGTCTCACAAAGACACGGCAGTTGGAACCAAAGATCTCAAATTTGGACTCATCAGACCAAAGCACAGATTTCCACTGGTCTAATGTCCATTCCTTGTGTTTCTTGGCCCAAACAAATCTCTTCTGCTTGTTGCCTCTCCTTAGCAGTGGTTTGCTAGCAGCTATTTGACCATGAAGGCCTGATTGGCGCAGTCTCCTCTTAACAGTTGTTCTAGAGATGGGTCTGCTGCTAGAACTCTGTGTGGCATTCATCTGGTCTCTGATCTGAGCTGCTGTTAACTTGTGATTTCTGAGGCTGGTGACTCGGATGAACTTATCCTCAGAAGCAGAGGTGACTCTTGGTCTTCCTTTCCTGGGTCGGTCCTCATGTGTGCCAGTTTCGTTGTAGCGCTTGATGGTTTTTGCGACTCCACTTGGGGACACATTTAAAGTTTTTGCAATTTTCTGGACTGACTGACCTTCATTTCTTAAAGTAATGATGGCCACTCGTTTTTCTTTAGTTAGCTGATTGGTTCTTGCCATAATATGAATTTTAACAGTTGTCCAATAGGGCTGTTGGCTGTGTATTAACCTGACTTCTGCACAACTCAACTGATGGTCCCAACCCCATTGATAAAGCAAGAAATTCCACTAATTAACCCTGATAAGGCACACCTGTGAAGTGGAAACCATTTCAGGTGACTACCTCTTGAAGCTCATGGAGAGAATGCCAAGAGTGTGCAAAGCAGTAATCAGATCAAAGGGTGGCTATTTTGAAGAAACTAGAATATAAAACATGTTTTCAGTTATTTCACCTTTTTTTGTTAAGTACATAACTCCACATGTGTTCATTCATAGTTTTGATGCCTTCAGTGAGAATCTACAATGTAAATAGTCATGAAAATAAAGAAAACGCATTGAATGAGAAGGTGTGTCCAAACTTTTGGCCTGTACTGTATGTCTCCAAGAGGGCAAAAAAGAGTGGTGTGCTTGGCAAGGGCTGATCCAACTACTCCGTAATAGCCCCAACCACTCGTGTCCAAAATTGGAAAACAAGTGGATAGTCCCACCTGAGATGGAGAAAAGAACCCATATAGCTCTGACATTTCCGTCTTAGACACATTTTGTGTTTCTGCCTCCCTCTTACATTTTAAAATGGTTTGATTTTAACATTGTTGACAGCATGTTGGATACATCCGGCTAAAACTAATGCAGTCTAATACAACAGCCATGCAACAAATATGATGGCTGAAATGTTAAGTTATTGTTGAAACTGTTTTAGTTGGGGGTGTTAATTCAGAAGTTGAATTTAAACTCATGGTTATTTTGGAGTTTGTAGATTGTTATGCTGTTGCATTGTATTGTGTCACAATATTTAAAATAGAATTATATAAAATACAGTGTAGACACCATAAATGAGGAGCAGTGGATAACTTGTCAGTGGGTAAATCACGGATACTGAGTCATCGGTAAATGCCTTAAATCATTAAGCATCCTCACCCGATCCATGTCACCATCAGCAGACACTCTGTAGTGATTAAGCTCCTTTTCTTCTTTTGTAGTTTTGGGATGGCGTATGAATTCATTGATTGCATCGGGGATGATGTCGACGTGGTGTCAGACTCAGAGGTTTGTGGAGCTGTTCTAAACATTTCTGTCTTTGTTTTTCAAACATGCACCTGATGTTATCATTTTTTTCTGTCACATTCAGAACATCAAGAAGCTTCTGAAAATTCCCTACAGCAAGTCGCACGTCAGTATGGCCGTTCACCGCGTGGGGAGGACGCTGCTTTTGGATGAGCTGGACATTCAAGAGCTCTTCATGAGATCCTCTCAGGTACAGGAGGGCTCATTCGAGACTTTAAGTATAGATAGTATGCCTATAGTATGTTTTGTGTATGTGCATTAAATCATTGTATTCTCCTTGGTATGTGTGTGTTGTAGACAGGAGATTGGACATGGCTAAAAGATTTCTACCAGCGGCTAATAGATCAGAAGTGGCAGAGGAAAAAGAAGAGTAAAGAGCACTGGTATCAGAGAGCAATCCTGTCAAAGTTCCTCTACTATAGGTGAGCACATGGGAGTCATGGGAGTTAGGTTACACTTCATCTTAAGGTGCATGTTTCCCAGTCTTTATCCAACAACAACTGCTGTGTTTCCTCCAGTATAAACGGTAATGGGGCTGCAGAGCCTGTTCCAGACAACCCGGATGAAGGAGAGGAGGAAAATGAGACAGATGAGTTCAGTTCTTCGTGGCTCACCAGCACAGCATCTGATACAGAAGAATCAGACACTCCCAAACAGGTACAGTATCTTAGCTGTTGGACAGGTATTCAGCAGTCTCCAATCAGGCAGTGTTACTTCAGGAATTAAATTAATTTCTTCTTGATTAGGAATCAGTGTGCATTAGCCATTCATGACTTTCAGGATTTAGTGAGATTAAATGTGTTAGAAAATATTGTTTTTTGATTAGACTGGCCCTTGGTTGGCTGCCAAACTTATGTGAGTGAAGGTTTTGGTTTGCACTGCTTGCACTGACAGTATTGCCACCATTACATGTGCAGGAAAGTGTGTCAGTGGACAGCAAGTTTGCTCTGGGTCAGGTGACGTCTGTACCCAAAGAGCAAAACCTGCCTATGCTCTTCAACGAAGGAGAGAACAGTCAGGTAATACAATCTCTTACCCTTCCTTAATCGCATTCTTTCCACAGCTGGTAGCATGTGTCTAATGTCTGTGTACATTTTGATGTCACTTGTTCGACAGGGTTTAAGAAACGACTTTGTGCGAAACATCATGTGGACATTTGAGGATATCCACATGCTGGTCGGGTCCAACATGCCTATTTTCGGAGGTGGTCGCTATCCTGCCGTCAGTCTGAGACTCAGGTTGGAATTTCAAACCATTTGCTCTCATTAAGCATAAAAAATTAAAACTTATTTAGAGCGAAAATGACAATGTAATCATGTGATTTTAATGGCATTGCTGTTGCTTTCTGTTGGGGTCTTGTCTTAGATATCTATGTCAGCAAGATAATGCAGATTAACACATGGCATTAATTTAGTTTATCTGACCTCAGAAGGTGAGCCACAAATGTAATTTTGGATGCTGCAGCCTCATCAGAATTACACAGTGGTTCCACTATATTATTCGTGTTTAATCTAACATCTGACCTTTAATTTTCTGACTGTTTTTCAGGGACAACAATAAGCCAATCAACATTCTGACAGGTATCGACTACTGGCTCGACAATCTGATGTGTAACGTCCCAGAGCTTGTCATGTGCTTTCATGTCAATGGCATTGTTCAGGTAAATTATTGTTTGTAAGTATTATATCTGTTTGATGATTGCTATGGTTAATGTTCTCAGAATGACATGATCTGTATTTTCTAAAGAAGTTGTTTTAATGATTAAAAAAACGTTCTGAAGTTCTGAAAATCACTCATCGCTCAGCCTTTTATTGAAAAGTGGGAGTAAAAGTTGTCGCTGTTTTTGCCTGTATTGTTTTCTCTGCAGAAATACGAGATGATAAAAACAGAAGACATCCCTCACCTGGAGAACTCGACTTTTTCAACGAGGGTGGTGAAAGACATCGCCCAAAATATTCTCTCCTTCCTCAAGTCCAACTGCACCAAAGAGGGTCACACATACTGGCTTTTCAAAGGTGGGAGATAACTGAACAGGAAGTTTTTGTTTTTCCTGAAGTTTTGTGCCGTGCGCTGTGCACTTGTCTATCCTGATGTTGTCTAATGTGATTTCTTGACTCCACAGCTAGTGGGAGTGACATTGTGAAGCTTTATGATCTTACTACTCTGTGTGAGGAGGCGGAAGAGGAGAAGTGTCAGAATCCCTTCACTCTTCCTGTGGCTGTGTTGCTATACAGGTAAGTCTCAGGAAAGACTCAGGATAGGAGCATCTTTGTACTTTAGGATCACTGCAGTTGCGAAAACTTGGAAAATCAATAAATTTGAGGGGCTGAAGTTCATGAGTAGATTTTGAAAAATGTCTTTCTGTCCAAAAAGAGCTTTTAGCATGGCACAGAAAGTTTATTTAATATTTTACCTATAATATGTATTTTATGATTTGGTTAAGCTGACCAGATCTTTAAATGTATAGTTGGACTTCAGTAAGTTTAAGTGCGTGTAGTAGGAGGCCTGAAGAGCCAAAATAAGTATGTAATATTATTGAAAATATGGCAAGTGATTAAATTGGTCATTTTAAACTCTTGCAAGTGAGTTATGCCTAAATAATTAACAGTAAAATGGTGAAAAACTGTAATGTGTTCTTGTCTATTTTCTGTTTTGCGGTGCAGAGTTGCCAGTAACTTGATGCTGAAGGCGAGGCAAAACAGAAAGCACTATGGCACAATCAGAACTCTGCTTTTAAACTGCGTCAAACTTCTGGATGAGGACAGGCACCCCCAGGTAAGCTTGGATTTAAAAAGATATTCCACCCTTACTTAAAAAGTTAAAATTAGATACAAGTGGGACAGACTTGGACAGAGAAGAGATGATGTGTAACAAAAGTCCTGTACCAAATTAGTGATCAAAAGCAGTATTTTCAGTCTATATTTAGACAGCGGGGAATCAAAAAGTGACTTTATGTGAGATTGCCAAAGTTTGGATTTGATTGAACTTGACTCTTCTCCTGATCTCCTCCATCACCTGTCTGCTCAGATCATCGCCTCCGCCCACTACATGCTGTCAGAGCTGTTCCAGCTCGACGAGCCTCTGGAAGAAGACGAAGGGGAGTCGCTCCGGGCCGGCGGCTCAGAGGACAGCTACAGTGACGAAGACAGGGAGGAAGAGGAGGAGGAGGAGGAGGAGCTGAGCGAGGACAGCGACGACAATGGCTCCTACAGCTCTTGCTCAAGCCCACAGGATGATAGTAAAGCCGTGGCCGTGATCCGCTCCGTTGGGGAGCTGTCGGTCCCGGAGAAATACAAATCCACTCATCAGATCAGAGTGAGTGCTTCTTAAAACACACAGACCTGTGGGGACAGTGTGGAATACACAGATTAATATGTTGTATGAAACACCAAAGCATAATCTTCCATTTTCTTTCAACCATGCAGCCAAGTGGTGCTTTCCCTGTTTCTCAAGACAAGGAGGAGAGATGCAGACATGTCCTGAGCTATGTGCTAAAGGCGAGTGCATGATATTTATATTTAGCGTACATACAATGCTAATAATGTTATGTCACCTACTGTATTAGTAATTATGGTAATATACTACACAGGGGATGAAGGCAGTGGATGGCACCATCAAGAAGGAGAGTGACCTCCCAGCTGCAGACCCTAACACTCCCATTCCTCTTAAATATGAGGATAGAAGTGCAGTTGGATCCTGCGCTGCTGAGCAAGGCATCTCTCTTCTTCTTGAAAGAGGTCAGTCTACAGTCCTTATTTCAAAGATATAACACCGCATAATAAGACAGGAAACAGGTCAGCACTATGACATACACCATGAGTCTCCGTCTATTAAGTTGCAAGTGTTTTTGCAAACGAAATACACACATTCTTCATCCCTCAAGCCTCCAAATGTCTTTCTGCTGCTTTTCAAACATGTGCGCGTCATCAGCGAGGCCACTGCAGGCGGACCAAAAGCATCCAACACGCTCTGGGATGATCCCCTGGTCATGGCAGCACCGCATGAAGCTGCAGCTCTTCCTCAAAGCCTCCAAGGCGTATTACGTCCTGTCTGATGCAGCCACGAACTTGCTGAAGTACGGACGAGCCCTGCGCTACATCAAGCTGTCTCTGCAGTGTTATGGTAAGGCTATTTATAAGACTGTAACTGACATTTTGCTTTGTTGAATGCTTACTTTTAAAATGTCTGCCCGTCTTAATTATTATAGTGTCATTTATTTAATGTATTAATTCAGTTAAAGTTGAATAAGAATTGAGTTATATAATTTAACATCCACTTTTGGCCATTTAGATATAATAATCAAATAAATAAGCTTCATGCTGCTACTGTAACTACGTTACTACATTTTATGAGGCAATATAATAACTCATTTAACATTTATTTCTCTTTCCCAATCCTGCTGCTTCTTCCATTGTTTCCTCCAGATGCCTATTGTTCAGTGAGCGGTACACTGCACCCGCAGGTGCTGCAGTTTCACAGCCAGTGCCTGTCTCTGTGTGGGGACATCCAGCTGATGTTGGCCCAGAATGCCAAAAACAGAGCAGCTTACCTGGAGGAATACAGCTACCAGACCAAAGAAGACCAGGAGATCCTGCACAGCCTGCACAGAGAGAGCAGCTGTCAGGGTGAGTCGCTAAAGAGAGACAAATGTACAAATTTTAAAGCACACAGCTGCCTGCTTTCATGCTTGATATATTGAAATTAAGGATCTTAAAGGCCTGGTGTCTCCTTATCCTTTTCTGTTCCACTAACGCCAGTCACAATAAAATTCCAGCACTTGTTTCACCCAAAAATGTAATTTAATTTAACTCCACTTGTCATTGCCTTTTCTCTTTACCCACCAGCCTTCAACATGGCGACAGACCTGGCCATGGACCCAGAGTACCAGCTGTTTGTTAGCAGTAAGTGCTACGAGGCAGCGTATGAACTGCTCCTCTCAGAGGCTTGTAAAGATCATGCCTCGGATCAGCTCGCACAGGTGCTCAAAAGGCTGGGAAACATCCGCAACGAGATGGGAGTGTACTATATGAACCAGGCTGCAGCAATGCAGACAGAGAAAGAAGGTACGTGGGATTAATAGACAACAGATGTAACTTTGAAAATTGTGTACAGAAAACAGTACTGTACCTAATTGGTCCCTCTCCTTCCTATTCTAGCCAAGAAGTCTGTGTCGGTAGCAGAGCAGGAGATGTGGAAAAAGAGCTTTGCCTTCTTTGAGAAAGGCATGAAGGATTTCGAAGCCATTGGGGACAGCACCAACACAGCCCTGCTGCTGTGTAACACTGGCAGGCTGATGAGAATTTGTGCTCAGGCCCACTGTGCCGTGTCTGCCGACCAGAACAGGGGGGAGTTCTCACCTGAAGAGGCTCTGTACTACAACAAGGTGTCATGCCAAATCCTTCATGTCTTGGAATGTAGTGGGAAATTACTTGTTCTTTTGCAATCTCTATTGTTTTTATATCCATCTTCCAACATGTCGACTCTCCCTAGGATTCTGTTAATAAATAATTTCATCTAATCTTTTATGTCAGGCCATAGACTATTACTTGCGGGCTATGAAGTCACTGGCAAGTCGAGAGAACCACCCAGCAGTGTGGGACAGTGTGAACTGGGAGCTGTCCACTACCTATTTCACCCTGGCTACACTTCTGCAGGACTACGCACCGCTGTCCAGGAAGGCCCAGGAGCAGGTGGGTTTGAACACATAGTAAACGGATATTATAAATTGGATATCGTACTTTATATCCTACAAAAGTTGGCTTTATACATTTAAGAAAATCTCAAGATCATTTATGATATGCACATTACATCCAAAAGGAGATCATGGTGACTATATGGGTGCATATTTAAAACCATCTATCCCTGTGTGTGTTTTCCCAGATTGAGCGGGAGGTGACTGAGGCAATGATGAAGTCCCTAAAATACTGCGACCTGCACACTGAGTCGGCTCGTCAGCCGCTCTACCAGTACAGAGCTGCCACCATCCACCACCGCCTGGCCTCCATGTACCACAGCTGTTTCCGCAACCAGGTGGGACACCATGTCAGATTATACAGATTATTTATTTTCTCAGTATTTGTTTGTTTTTGTGGTAATAATTCACATGTCTTAGCTGTCTATGCCAAAAATGCGTTATTTTCTGCAACAAAAAAAGGACTACACACTGACTAGAATAGAGTCACTGGTGACGGGATGTCTGTGTTTATTACTTACGGCAGTATAACACACACTGAAGGATGTCTGTGTTTCTGGCTCTAATTGTGTGACAGGTGGGGGATGAACACTTGAGGAAGCAGCATCGCAGCCTGGCAGAGCTTCACTATAGCAAGGCTGTCTGTTTATTCCTCAGCCTCAAAGACGCACCCTGTGAGCTGCTCCGCACGCTCCTGGAGAGGGTGGCCTTTGCTGAGTTCACCATGGCAGGTGTGTAACTGTTCTCAGTCATGTTTGGTTTAGTCAAGAGAAGAGAAAGAGCATTTCCATCCACAGCCTCTTAGACTCATTACTATGTTTGCACAGGTCAGAGCAGCAGTGCGGCAAAGCTGAAGAGCCTCACCGGAGCAGTAGAAATCATGACAGAAACTCGCCACGCTTTCCAGCTGATTCATAAAGAGCTGCTGGAGGAGCAGATTCAGGTACATTTCAGAGCAGCAGATGGGAGTGCTCACTCATGCTGATGCATCTTTGCAAAGCTTTGTTTGGGTTGCCCTCTCTTGACCACACACTCTAACCTACAGCATATTTTCCTTTCACTTCCTGTGCTGTAGTTGAGTCAATCAGAAGCTGCTGAGTCGGCAGAGTCTCCTGAGGTGGCCCCTGCTCCGGCCTCGGGACTGAACCTTGAGGAAGTGATGAAGTTAATTGGCGTGTTTGAGCCCAGTTTCTCCTTCCTGTTGCTGCAGCTGATCAAACTGATGACGACAATGAAACGGAAACCAAGGTGAGCAATAATTTAGAAATCTTATATGTTAAGCTATATAGGCATCTCAAAGGAATACTTAACCTGCAGAGTGACCATTCATATATCAGTTAAGGTGCTTTCACACCTGCCGTTTGGTTCGGTTCAATCAAACTGAGGTTTGTTTGCCCCCCAAGTGCGGTTCGTTTGGACAGTTGTGAACACAGCATTCGCAGCCAGACAGAGACCTTCTTGAAGAGGTGGTCTCGGTCTGGTTACAAACAAACTCTGGTGCGGTTCGTTTGTGGTGAGAACATGTTCCTACCTCAATCTGAACCAACTGCAGTCACATGACACATTGTTTGGGTTAAACATGAGCATGTTACAGTCCTGGAGGATTATTAATGTGCACCTCCTCCTGTACTGCCTTAATATGCACATTCAGCACATCCAATGCATCAAAACATTGTTTTCTAGTTGGAGCCGCGCCTCATTTTCAAACTGTATGGTTTGACTAAAATGAACAATGACAGCAATATAGTCCATGATGAGCAGCGCTAAAACCAACCTGCGTAATTGTCCCTCCATTGTGACATTAGAAAGTGTTACATTTATTTTGCAAGTGTACTCTTCTTCAACATTTGGTTTACTTCCTGGATTTTTACCGCATGGAAATTCTGACCAATCAAGAGCAGCTTTCTTGCACAAGGCATTTGATCTGGTCCTCTTGTAAATGCTGCTGTGAGAACATGAACCATCTCTAGGCAATTACGCAACTTTGGAACAAAATTAGTTCCTGATTAGGACCAAAGCAAGACAACTCTAGGTCTGAAAGCACCCTTACTCACAGCGTGTTACCTTTAGTTTGTGAAGAAAGCTTTGTGCCTGAGTATGAGTGTGCATATGAGCTCTCTTTAGGTGTTTTGAATCATGACGTTTTAGTGAGAAGTGTTTCTGCACAGCTTTTGTGAGACTTTGTAAATAGATGTTGTTGTTGTTGTTAAACGTGGGCCCCAGTGACTTAAATTCATGAAGAATGTTCACCTAGTATTCCTTTAATATCCTTCAGACTTTTTCAGTGGTCTCTTCTGACCAACTTATTTATGTCTATGACAGCAATAAGGATGAGGAGCTGTTGAAGACCTATAAGAATGTTTACTCCAAGCTGCTGCGAGCTGAGAAAAACGCACCTCTGCTTAACCGTGTGGAGCTCCACATAGAGCTCCTGCAGCAGCTTACTCCCAGAACAGGAAGTGACGACAAGGGTATGCATTCATGATGAAGACACAAACCACAGCAAGGAAGACGCTCAAGACCTTAACTCTTCTCGAAGCGCCACACTGGGGAAGATCCAACAATTGTCTTCTATAAAATGCTGTGACAGAACACAATGATTTATAGTCACCATTATGAACAGGCACATGCTCAGGCAACACCGTCTTACCTGAATTACAGTTTTCAAAGCTAATTTCACCTCCTGCGCCTTTAAAACCAACTCATCTTTTTCTAACATTTGCATCACAGGTTTTCAATTGTACATTTTTGTGAAAAGAGTTGTAAATTCTGAAGATATTATTTAACTTTCTTATTGCTTATGTGGTCATGGGTCACACGTAAAGCTCCGATCTGTAGGATGTGTTGACTGTAAACATCACCCAGATTGCCTCATTTTTCTACAAACAAAAACATACGGCGTAAGATTTCACAGATGGTGTAATTGCGTATAACACAGGGGCTTTAACAGAGAGAAATCATTTAGCACATGCTCACAAAAATTGATTCATCGGACTATAATTGGTGTTTTTGATATTCAATAATACCAATAATGCTGTGAATAAAATTCATTGAAGTTTGACTGATAGCTGACAAGTTTAATAATTCATCAAGTGTGTTACTTGCTTTCCAAAATGACAGTGTGCAATAGTTTGGCAACATTCAATGCAAACTCAGAGGCTCGTGTGTCCACACGGCTGTATGTACAAATGAGTTTATATCAGCATGGTTTGCTGTGACATGGAAATAAAAAGTTTTTAATTTTATGTGCCTTCTGTAGATGTTTTGTTACCCTCATGATATTGTATGTTTCTATATTTGTCACAAAATACTAATGTGTTAATGCTAATGTGCTCTTGTGCTAGTAAGTAGTAGTATCACCGCGCAGTAGGAAGCGTGCACCTACTCATGGATGAGAGGCTCGTGCTCATGACAGCAGGAGATGTAAACATTAATGGTGTCCTCCTTGGCTGAGCTGTGACGCTAGCTACCTCCTTGGTGCTAGGTGAGCTAGCAGTAGAGCTAGCTTCTTTCTGCTTGTTGATTCTGTTGGTGGGTGTAGTTCGGTAGAAAGAAAATAGTTCCTACATAAGACTGCTCACAACAAGATCTGTGGATTATCTTGAGTAACCGGGTCATGATTTCTGGGAAGAGACATTGCTGTTGAGTTTTTCAAATGTATTTGTCTGTGCCTTGAGCACCACAAGCCAAATGCCAACTAGCTCCATTATACTTGAGAGAAGGCAGACATGTCTACGGCCGATATCTCCAACACCCTGCAACTCACACCAGAACAATCTAGATTGATAAATATCACTACAGGTAAGAAGAAAAATATGCGCTTTTGATTTGGGGAGGAGTTGTACCTTTAACTTTCAGTTTAATTATTCATTTGGATACCAAATATACATTATCCTCCTGAGACTCTGCATCCTCGTTTGAAGGCATCACATTTTGGCTTTACTTGACCATATACTTCCTTCTACTTAGACCTGTTGTCCTCGTTCGTGGACAATTTTCTGTGCCACCTAGTGGTAGTAAGAGCACAATACACTAATTTATGTAAAAACAAGATGGCAGCCATCTCTGTCAAGTCAGTCTGCAGCCAGTCCTGACACAAAAGTGGACAAGGTCCAAAACCTGATCACAGTTTATGGTTGAAACTTGTTTATTTAATAATGTTTGTAGTCTGATAATGGCAACACATTTGACGAAGTTTAGCCACAATAATAAACTAAGACACTGCATTCAGAAAGTACTGGTTTGAAAATGTTGGGACTTTATTGTCATCTCATTTGAGGACATTGGGACTTTATTATCATTAACAATGTTTAGTTTTTTGTACTTATTAGGTCCTACTGATCCAGAACAGCTAGGAGAAATTAAAAGTGAATACCAAACAAAAGGTCAGCTCTCAGGAGGATATGATGTAACATATTGGACTATTATTTCCGTTGATTTATCCTGACATTTAAACATCTACTAAATGATCCTAAACCAGATTGTGCACAGCTGGTTTGCCTCGAAAAGACAGTTTGTAAAAGATTTTAAGTGGGTCAGACGACACTGTACCCCGAGGGTTCTGGCACTGGTCCTTGCAGCACCATTCAGCCCGGGTCACTGAAGAGGGGACATGATGTTTTCAATGAAGTGTCAGTGAACTGGGTCACCCCACAGTTACTGAACTGTGTCCACACCAGATGGAGCTGCAGGTGGGCCCATACTGTCCCTATACCTCATTAATCAGGCTGGACCCTCAGTGCTGTGGGTGACTAACTGTTGGACAGTGACTGAAGGTAAACTGTGAAAAGGAGCCACAGAGTCGTTAAATATTTCAGCGGGTTCTGTGAACTGAAATTATAAACTTTGAGGAACTTTTAAGTATGAGAAAATCAGAAACCAGATTTTTCTGTTGAATAAGAACAAATATACATAACAGCAGTTATTGTTTTCATTTCATATATTAGTGCACTATTAAAACATAAATACAGAACATGATATTGTGACAGAAATATGGGACACAGATGAAAGGAAATGACTCCTAAAAACAACAAATTATCAATAAAATGACAATGTGCTTCTGTGCAATATAGTGCAATAAATTCTACTGGGAGCAGTGGGTTAGTCAGTCACTGTATGACACAGCGGTCAGAAGCCTGGTCCTCCTGCGGTTCCACTTGGGAGGCCTGAGGTTTCTTCTCTTGGTACTGAGGAGCTCCGTGGTTCAAAATGTTTTGGAGGATGTCTTTGCTCTCACTAGGCGGCAGATTGTAGAAGAAATACTGTGGTGCCATCTGAATGAACCTGGTAAAGGAGAGGACAGCGTTGTCGATAAAAACAAGAACTAATCTTTTCAGTTTGTGTTGGCTTTGAATGACTTCCACTTACGCTGAATAGAAGAGTTACAGATACTTATATTTCCCCTTTTATTATTTGAACGGCAATGAATGGATCGATACATTTTAAGAACCTAAGAGAGCATGACAAAGGCTGCAGAGCTTTCTCCTCCTCCATTAAACCACAGCTCCACTTTCCCAGGAATCTGTGCTATCCATAATCCCCTTTCCAACCAGCTGATACTTGAGAACAGGATTAGGATACCTCCCCTCACAACCAGCATGACTAGTCCCTGCTGAACTGAGGTTTTACATCTGGACCAGACAGGAAAGCGAATGTGTCCGTCTGATTACATTTAAGCTTCTTTAAATGTGCAGATTAGACGGGTGGTCTGCTGGGTTCTTTTAAAGCAACAAGAGACTGCAGTCTAGTTAAGACTGAACACATTCAGTTATGTGACTGTTAAACAAGTGCACAGTTTAAAATATCCAAAGAACAAAATGTTAAAACAAAGCTGAGACTTACTCCTCCGGTGTTATGTGAGTTGTGGTGCGGAGGCAGTTGTCCTCGGAGAAGGAGTGCTCATGGAACAGCACCCACTCAGGCAGGCCCAGCTTGGGCCTCTTGGCTCCGTATCCAGACAGAGGATGGATCTGTGCCACGTGCTTATGGGTCAGGATGAAGTAGTTCCCTGATCCATCCACGTCCCGCGCCACCTGAGGGAAATCATAGCCAGGCACAGTCCGATGGATTTCCACAGAGGGACTGGAGTTGCTATACTGATATAGGATATACTGTGTATACTGATTTTACCTTGAATAGTGCACATAAAAAAAATCCAACACATAAAAGATGACAAGAAAAGGCAACTTCTCTCATAACTTGCAGCTGAAACATTTCAGACTTTGTGGTTTGCCTCTTTTTTGTTGCTGTTTTGCATCTCTTTGTTGTCATTATGCATCTTTTTGTGGTTTTATGTCTCTCATTTCCTGTTTCTTTGCATCTCTTCGTGTTCATTTTGAGTCTCTTTTAGGCCTGTATATGTTGTAATAATCAGAGTGACATTTTGCAGATGAAGGCCAGAGGGGGGCCTGACACTTTGGGCTCCTGGGCCTGTGCCTGGTTGGCCCATTCAGTAATCCATCCATGATTTCAAGGAGTTAAAATACTGAAACAGTTGAAGTTTTAGTGGCAGTCAAAATACAAAATACTGAGAGAAGCTGGACTGTGGAAGTGTAAGCTGGTATAAGTGTAAGAACATGTCTCTTGAGATGTAAGAAAGCTGTTGGATAAAACTGTGCATGAACAGTGGAAGTTGTGGAAGTTACAATAGCTGAAGAAGGTTTTAGATGTTCAGATGCTAAGGCCTGAGACCTAAAAGGGTATTGTAGTGGCTGTTTGACATACCAAAGTTCCTAGGCCATTTAGTTTGTGAGGTGTCTCGGTTTTGTCTCGTGTTTTGTCCCTTCCAAAGTTACATCTTGTACGGTCCACTACCAACTTGATGTCCTATTTCTATATATTCTCACATATTATCCACTATTATACTTAAACACTGCGTAACATTAAAATTTATTACGATCCAAATCAACAAACACTGATGATTTTACTTGTTATGTCTGTCAAATTTAAGATTTTTTTGTTTTTGGCTTTATGCCTTTATTTGATAGGACAGTGTTAGTGTGAAGGGGGGAAACAGAGGATGGCATGCAGCAAAGGGGTTCCAGGCTGAAATCAAACCTGCAGCGGCTGCAGCAAGGACACTGCCTTTCTACATGGGACGCCTGCTCGACCCACTGAGTTACTAGGCACCCCATAATTTTAATAATGAATATTAATCATAAAAAGGAACATAACTGTTTCTCCATATTGTCGGTCACTTAAATTACTAAATGAACAGAAGTGCTTTAATATTTCAATAAGCCCATATTATGTGATGATTAATAGAATAAACACATGATTAGAGCACACTCCACATTGCTGCATTAGTTCCACTTAGAGGACTTCAATGGCCTTTTAGAGTCTTCAGGTGGACTCTGGGTGTTTGATGTGAGCTGAAATGTTTTAAGCTGTCGAAGCTGATCTAATAAATTATTTTAGTTTTTGTTGAGTGTTATAATAAAGTTGTGTTTTCTGACCTGCATGAAAAACCCTGCCAGCAGGGCTCTCTTAATGTTCAGGGTGTTCCTTCGGGAACCAAAGGCGGGCAGCGAGATGGGCAGCTCGATTCTCTTCAGGGTGTCAGTGAGCTCAGCGCGAAGAGCGTCAGCTATCAGCAGAGCAGCGTGGCTCAGGTAGAAATCCTGACACCACTTCTCTTCATTACAGTCTAACAAGTGGAGAAGACAGAGACACAGGGAGGATTTAAGGAAGGCGCAAACATTGATGACGACATACAGATGGGACAAAAATCAACATAATTATATGC